GATGTATGTATATACTGAAGTCACCAGTATCATTCAGTTAGCACATCTGAGTCCTCAAGTAATCTACACTGTCTAACTAAAAGTACATACAGACACTGGGCACTGTTCTAGTTAGTTTCTTTGTCAGTTTGACACAATCTAGAGTCACCTAGGAAGAGGGAACTTCAACTGGGAAAATGCTTTTATTACACTGGACTATAGGCAAGCCTGTGGGGACATTTTCTTAATTAATGAGTGCCAAAGAAGGGCCCAGACTACTGTGGGCAGTGCTACCCCTGGGCAAGGTAGCCCTGGGCTGTATAAGAGAGCAGGCTGAGCAAGCCGCCAGGAGCAAGCCAGTAAGCAATGTTCCTCTGTGGGTCTGCTTGAGTTCCTGCTCTAGGTTCCTGCTCTGCTTGAGTTCTTGCTTATGATGAACAGCAGACTGTCAGATGAGGTAAACCCTTTCCTCCCCAAATTGCATGGTTATGGTCTTTCTCGCAGCAATAGGAAACAAATTAAGACAGGAATTGGTACCAGGAACACAGGGTATTGCTGTGACAGATATGATCATGTTGTTTTGGGGAGGACTGTGAAAATGTTTGGAACTTTGGAATAGAAAAGCCATTAAGTACTCAGAAGTTAATGAGCTGCTGTGGGAACTCAGAAGATAAGAATGCCGAGACCAATTCAGAATATGCAGGCCTGGATTATATATTTTAGAGGGAAAGGCTATTCATAGGACACTTGGAATTAAGAATCTGTGTTTTCTGGTCAGCCATGACAAAAGAATCAGCTGTGATCCACAAGAGACCAGAACCACTGAAGTGAAACTTTTGCTTTGCTGGGACAATTAATGGTGGGGCTAAAAAACCAGCAAGGATTAAAAGAAACCAGCATCACTGAGGTGAAAACTTCTGGAAAGCATTCTCTCATGATGAGCACACAGAGATGTGTGGTCCAGACATGGCCACTCAAACTAGCAGCTGAACTTAATAATGTATGGGAGTCTTCCAGATGGTACAGGTTTGGATGGCATGAAAGCTGCAAGGTTGAAGGGACTATGGACACAGCTGGCTTGGCACTGTAAATCCAGAGAGGCCAGTGATGAAAGTACAGCCTCAGTTGCAGTGGAGACTCCAGGATTGAAGGTGTCATGAAGAAAAGCTGCAGTTTGGCACCATGTGGCAGGTCAAGGTCCCAAAGAGAGGCCAGGAGGCCTTTGGTGAAGAGGCAGCCTGTGGAGATCACAGCATATTGGAAATACCAGGACGGTGGGATGACTAATAAGGATAGCAGCAGGTCTGGAGGGCAGCTAGCACAAGCCTATGAGACAAGCTGCATGTGCTGATGATGGTGGAGCCAGAGAAGTAGAGCAGCCCAAAGCCCTTTGGAGCCCAAAAGATTGTGAGTTCCAGATGTCAGACATTGGGCTACTTATACATATGTATTTGGGTTTTGCTTCAATGGGTATTTTAAAAAGACTTTGGATATTTTAAAGAGACAATTCTTAATGTGTTTGAATATTTAAAGGCATGGGACTTTTAAAATTATATACTATGCTTTATATTGTGATGGTAACATGGTATCTTGGGGATAAAAAGGAAAGGAAAGGTTATAGCTTAATAGTGATGCACTTGTAAATCAAGTTAACGAGGAGTCAATTGTGCTGGTTAGTTTTTTGTCATCTGGACCCAGCTAGAGTCATGTGAGAAGGAATAACAACTGAGAAAATACCTTCATCAGACTGGCCTCTAATCAAGTATGGGGGCTTTTTTTGATTAGTGATTGATACAAGAGGGCCCAGACCACTGTGAGAAGAGCCATTTCTGGGCAGGTAGCCATAGGCTGTATAAGGAAGCAGGCTGAGCAATCCTTGAGAGAACAAGCCAATAAAAATGTTTCTTCATGATTCTGCTTGAGCTCCTGCCTCCAGGTTTCTGCCCTGCTTGAAGAGTCCAGACTTCCTTTCATAAGGGACAGTATGCTATAAGACAAAGTAAACCTTTTCGTCCCCCAAGTTGCTTTTGGTCATGGTCTTTTTCACAGCAACATTAACAAACTAAGACAAGCATATTCTTTAAACATACTAATAGAGTTTTTAAACATCTAAAGTTTAATTTATTTGGAAATACGGTAATAACAAGCAGCCTCTGTTACTTGTCAAGATTTTCCCTGAAATAAAGTGAGAAAGGGGTCTCAGGACATAGGCGGACAATACACCTTCACCTCTCCACCTCATGTCACATGGGCCTATCTACAAGCACCATCCTTCTCTTTTCCCAGTGTCTTCAATCCACAGCAGCCACCAAAGGCTCCATCCACCCTTTGGAAGCTCCTCCTGCCGTGAGTTAAGCACACAGGTCTCTGGTACCTAAGCTTTACTGCCAATCACACAGAGGCAGACTGAGACCTGTCATAAAATGCCCACACTCTCATAATCACTGCTATTCTCTGCTTTCTAGTCCTCAGATCATTCTGAGACTGAAAACCTTCATAAGCCAGCTCTGTTTAGCTGACACAGGAAAAGCCAACACCATATCATGAAGGTACAGTACGTAAGAGAGAAGTCATCACTTACCCACCCCCTTGAAAACTTGGGGGAATGTCCACATGTATTCACACCCTCCTTGCTATGCAGTAACCTCCTCTTCTATGTTGTGGGTCACTCAGTGGCACTGACGTATGGAAGAAAGCCCCCACTCCACAAGGGATGGAAGACAGAGGGAATGACCTAGTTAGTTGCTCCTGTTATCTTAGAAAGACAGGATTCTCATGGAACCAAATTCACTCTGCTGGATTGTGAAAAGACTGTATTGTGGAGGAGATGACGCCTAATCTGGAAAATTGTATTCAACCAGGAGCAGTGTCCTGGGAAGAGGTGGGTTTCATTCAGGAAGCTGAAGTCAAGAGAAAACACCCATCACTCCTCTCACCTCCAAATACTGCATGTCAAAAGGGTATAATGGGGAATGACTCTATGTATATACAGAGTAAGGGCATGAGGCAAAGCCAGGAGGCAGGAGGATGGAGCCTGAGCGCAAACAAAGCCTCAATCAAGGAGGAAGCAATAGACTGGTCATACACTGTGAGACCCACGAAGTACTCCCTACATAATCCCTGTCCCAGGTGCATCACAGAGAACTCACAAAGTGGTGTGTGTACTGGCAGCAAGAACAGCAAGACAGTGGCTGTAGCCTGAGATAGGAAAGGCACGAAAGTAAAGCTGAAGTCCAATGTTTATTCAGGAAACAAGACTGGTCCTCTACTAATGGGCGGGCCTGCCTCGACTTCATCCTCAACAATCTCATGAAAAATATTACAAGGTACTCTCAGCAGGTAATACCCAAACCCCAACAAGCTTTCAAATGACAAAGACAAAAGTGCCTGCTCTT